CCCGGTGTGGGTGCTGGGGGTTGACGGGGAGGCAGATGTAGGCGTCGCCACTGCCACTGCGTGGACCTGGTTAGGCGCTAAGCTCTTGGGAGATGGTCACCGGAGATAATGAGCTTTTTAAAAAGGGGGTGTCAGGTTCCGTCTGCTTCAGGGTGAGGGTGAGGGGTAGAGAAAGTGAATTCTGTGCCCTCGCCCCCCCAGAATTGGTAACTTCTTTATGTGCCTATATATCTTGAACCCTTTGGCTGCAGTTCTCCCGCCACCGAATCCGCACCCATAGGTGCACTCTGAGGCCTCTGGTGGTGAAGATTTTTGCTTTAGAGCTCTTCAAACCCAGGCTCAAGCTCACGTCCAAATTAACGGGTCCTCGGAATTGCAGAACCCTGCATCCACCCCAACCCCCAATAATAGCACTTTGTGGGAGAGAAAAAATAAAAACTTGGAATCCCTTCTGCAGTTAATTAAACCTTTGAACACTTCAGAAGTCCACGTGGTAAATTACCGTGCGAGCTTGTATCTGTGACTGCAAAAGGAGGCACTGTTGAAAGCAGAACAACTTTACACCAAGAATCTAATAATGCCATAATCTTACATTTACTGCTTATGTTTTGGAATTGCCATTCACTACACCCGTTGAGGTTGTCATAATGCTAAATTTAAACCAGCAACTTTCTGTCCATCTATATTTTAAAAAGTAGTTAATTCTGTTCTTGGTGACCAGGGGCCATGGTGTTCATTAAGTAGATATGGGTTTCATTGTGACTTTGTACTTGTTATGTACCTGCTTTGCAGAGATGTGAAGATTAAATAGTATTTAAGTTGGTGGTCACTAAATGGAGTTGATTTTTAATCGGTGGCTACCTTTGAGTGAGGTTTGAGTAGTGTATGTTTATCTGTCTCATGTAATCTAAAGTTTTCTACATCTTTAGTCATTTAGGAAACATTATTTAAAAGGCATAGTTCCCAACCTTTTTGGAATTGTTTTACAAAATGATTTTTTTTTTCAAGATACGTGTAGAAGTATGCTGTGATTAAACTTTTAAAGGTGTAGAAGATATCAGTTATAGGTGAGAAACTTAAGTGTCCTCAGAAGTAATTGACAATACCCTGTGGATTGATATTACTAATAGAAACCAGATTCTTGAATATTCCTTTACTGCTTAGTGTGTAGTAATAAGTTAGAGGATGCAAGTTAAAGTTCATCTGTCTTTTTAATGTTTTCAGGTAAAACTTTTCATTAAATGTCTGTGATTTTGGTTCTTTGTAGTACTAAAGGTTGGTGCTGCAGGAATTTGACCAGCTTATAATATTCAAAATTAATTCAGGATTATTGAAACAAAAGAGTTTTTTAACATCTGTGAGTTCATTTAAGTTATTCAATGACTTTCTACAGCTCTACTGAAATACTTATATTTTATAAGATTTGTATAGCTCTTTGGTCACTTTGTACATAATCTTTGAGCCAATATTGTATTTGTATAGATTTTTAACTATTTGCTATTTTCCAGTTTATTTCCAAGGCAATGCATTAGTTATATGAATTATAAAACTTCTAGAAGTTTATATTTTCAGAAAGCTCATGGTTACAACGTAGTTTCTCTACCCTTTTTTCCCCTACTTGTAGAAATGTAAAAACTAACAGTCTGGGGCAAGAAATGAAAACATTTAACCTGCTATATGGGACATTTTAATTAAAGTGAATTGTAGATTTTCATTTAATGACTTTAAATTTCTTAAATGTTTTAGAAATAGAACATTTTATCTTTAGTGGTTTTTTAGTTAATATTTTCAAAACAGAATTGAATGTAGAATTACAGTAAGAAAAGAAAATAGTGAAGACCATATGAGTATAGATCAGGGATGGGGACCATTTTTCTGCCAAGGGCCATTTAGATATTTATAACAACATTCAGAGGCAATACAAAATTATCAACTTAAAAATGAGCCTGCTATATTTGGTCAAACATTTAATTAACTCACCCCTACTACCTTGGCAGGGCCAGACCAAATTATTTCTCTAGCCTTATAGGGCCCCCACCCCTGAGAAAACTAGGTAACCAAGGATATTAGAGATAGTATTTTATATATATATATATTTATATATATATATGTGATATATATGTGTGTGTGTGTGTGTGTATATGAAAAGCCAGTGGCTAGAATGCTGTAACGACTGGAACCACCGGTCACCCACTGCTGCCAGCGAACCGCCCAATCTGGGGCCGCGACCAACCTCCTGCAGCTCCTCCTCTCG